GCAAGTGCTAACGTTGTAGGTATGTTACTTCAATGGAAAAGATAAAAAATTGTGCCTCATAGGATTGGTTGTGATTACAAGTTCCTGCAGAAATTACCCAAAACTTCTGTCTACAAGTAGTTCTCTAAACGCTTGTTTGTCATTGGTATTACAATAAAGATAAAAAATCTCTTTCCTGTCGGTCTATTGTTTTGATTAAAATGTAGTGAGTTCAGAATTCTAAACCTGATTCACTCAGAAGCCTGATTTGCATATTCTGAGTCTGAGATGCCTATTCCCTTATGAACAATGTTTTTTCTCTCATATTGCATTTTTTAATTTATGTCAGGTCAGCTTACATATTGAAGCAAGATAGTCTGCATCCATCTTACAAATCCTTTCTCAACAAACATGGTGGCAAAGCTTTGGTTATCCTGCAGGGTGTGAAAGACCTGGCATGTGGGAACTCTGTAATGAATTTGGAAGCAATAGAGAATCACTACAAGTCCAATGGTATTAACATCAAACTGGATCCACAAATGAAAGTACCCTGCTCGGTATGTCATAGTTTCCTGTTCTTTGGCAGGAATACTAGTCCAAATATGAATGCTGCTTTCTATTTTAGTGGGCGTGTTCCTCCTAAAGCAAATGTTGCTACTTTATAAAATGGTGGAGGGGAAAGGAGTTAAAATATTTACTGTGTAGAGCTAGAAGTTGGAGGTTTGGCTGGAGGTTGTTCGTGTCCTCTGTTTCTATTGTTCTGCATTCTTAAGCTTTTGAGGTTGTTTGGGTAAATCTAAATTTAGGGTTTAATTGTCAAATTTTTAAAATAAAAATGAGGGCTCTTGGAGACTTGAGCGATATCTTTTTATTAAGGGCCCGTAAATTGATGCCATTGACTATTTCTAGTAAGTTTATGTAGTCACTACTTTATGATTTAGATTAAACTGCTTTGTAGATTAATGAATTTTATCCATATCATAGTTCTTTTTCCTTTTTTGTTGTTTGTTAATTACCCTTTGCCTTTCAATAACCAGCATGCTTGATAGTCAAATACTTTTTTAGAGCTAATGAAGGCAAATGCAATATCTGGATGTTATTATGTGTTAGTGGAAAATGTGTTGTTCACTTCCTTTTGTCTATTATACTCTGTTTGGAAATTATGATACTTTTTCCGTTCTTTCATGTGGTATTTTGGGGCTATGTGAAATGCATTTCAGTTGTATTACAGCAAAAGGAACTGTTCTGATTTGATTATCATATTGAATACCCAGTTGAAGAGGAGAACTATATGAGGTTTGATATGTGTGGACTATCAATTCTGCAGATCAAGAGTTCTAGATTAAGTACACGATTAGTTTTGTTCATCAATTTGCTTTATAGGTCCAATTATGACGCACGAATCACTGATTAAAAAATACCTGCAGTGCTGTAGCCACTTTATACTACCAAAAAGAAAAAGAAGCTGTAGCTTCATGATTTTTCATTTAAGGATGTAACTGGATGATGCAATTGCCCTTTCATGTACTTCTGCTACCTGTAAATGTTATGCCAAAACCAAACATCCTGTTGTATTGGCCTCAATAGTAGACTCTTAATTGTGTTTCATGTGTTTGCCTAAGGTAGGTGCTGCTATCTTGAAATTTTTTGGATTCATAGTAATCAAGGATTGCAAGAGTTTAATCGACATGCTGATATTGTTGATCTGCAAGCACTGTTTTCCCTTTGGATGTTCATGCAGATAGTACATGAGAATCAAGGATGTGGTGCGCATTTCATTTCATTTCTAATTCAAGCCTACAAGAGAGCTCTGCCGGTTTACCTTCCAGTTTATTTAGTTCCTGCACTCATTGTACATCGTCAAGGCATCTTGAAAAGGTACTGAATGTTGGTTTCTTCAATGATAAATCATCTTGTCTTCTTCGTTTTCTCTTGGATTATCCGTTGATCAGCCATTGGTTGATAAAATCTGTAGCATTATAGGAGAATTATTGTAGCATAGTTGTTACTACGAATAATTTATCATTTGGAAGTACATTTTCCTCATGATAGTCCATATTGCTTTTAGCCCATTCCATTTCCAAGCTCTATAAGCGTATAATCATCTTCCTTCAGCTCCAGTTATTACAACATTCTAAGGAAATTTTTGCAGACCTAACACAATTTTGGCGAAGGGTCTCCTCGGTACAGCAAGGTCTAGTCTATTTCTCTCCATGTATTGTTCGTCTGCCTGGTAAGAACTAAGAACTGATTTGATTTGTAAAATTTTTGCATTTTACTGTCTTTATTATGAATAATTTTGCACGTTTTTCAGTCCTTTCGCCTGACGATGTTAAGCCCCCTCTAAGTTTAAGTACGCTTGCTTCAAAATGATTGCTCATCTCAAAGCTTCATCTGCTGTTTCATTGTTAGGTTGTGGACATGTTTTCTCTTCAGGCTGTTCAAGAGGTGTAACATCCCCATGGTGGCACTGGGAACGGTATAGGACAGATTAATTATCTTTCTTAACCAATTGTTTTGCTTCTCCCTTTGTAAAGCTAACATAAATACATTTTACAGTTCCCTACTGGTCTGGCCCTGGCAATCGAGAAGAAAAGCAGAAGGATAGAGATTTCACTCTATTGTCTTGCTCGGGCACTTGAGAGTTTCGTCACGTGCATGGCTGATGTTGGTTATTTGCCTCAGTCTGAAAAATTAAAGAGGGGTGATGTTGTGATCTTTAGCATGGCAACTGCAATTATCATGCATTGTTATGCTATGGAGAGGGATGTCTTTAAATCCAAGTATTTGAATGTTCTTGATTGGGTGTTTGGTGTGCCTCTTCCCCCCTATGATACCACTCCTCGCAAGAAATGGCGTTCCTCATCCATATAAAGAACCGCGAGATATAATTGTACACAATGCATGTCGCAAAAAAATAATTTAACTTTGTACACCACAATAGTCATAGAACTAATCTACCTTCATGCAAATGTAGAATGATTTATGGTCTGTTTAGTTGGAACTTTGTTGCAGCCAGTACATTCAATTGTCTTGCATCATTATGATCGTGAAATTGTTCTATATTAGAAATTTGAGAGATGTTGTAATGTTAGCGATCTCAAAATATTCATATATCATATCGAGGCCTTTATAATTTGCTTATCCGTTAAGCAATGTAAAATGTTTGCAACAAATTATTCAGTGTTGCCAATCCTGAACTTCTTTTAGGTAGGCCAAGAATGATTTCCATGTCAACGTCTTAATGATTTTTCTTGAGAGATTAGCCAATATGGTTAAATTTCATACATTCATGTTTCATGCTTGATTTGGTCCGTCTAAAAACTTATGAACTTCAAAACAGAACTCTGAAGGTAGGAATTTCGATACATAACTACAATAACTGAAGACTTATAAACTTCAAAACAGAAGTTTGAAGGTTGTAATTTCGATACAAAACTACAATCTCAGATATAGCAGTGTGGTGCAACAAAGAAGTTCTGGTAATTACTCCATAATATCGACAGTGTCTTCCAATAATAGCATTACAATTCAAAATGGTATATCATAACAAACCCCTTAAACCCTATAATCAAGAACCCTAATCCCCATTTCCAAACCAAAACATATCAATACCCAAAAAAAGAAAAAAAAAACTAATCAGACCTCGTCTTCATGAAGAAGCATATTGGGAATGCCTTTATTGACAGGAAATTTCCGGCCAGTCTCTGGACAAACCAAGGCACCCTCTTCAAGATGAAGCTCGAGAAGGGCATGATGAAACTTATGAAGAAAATCATCTGAGTTTACCATAGCAGCATCAACATTTTCAGGCAGTTCAGCGTAACCCATGGTTCTAGAAGCTTCCGCCAGTGCCTTCCATTCAACCTTATGGAACATGTTCTTGAGAAAATCGATATTAAAATCAACCTCTTTCTCTACCACTTTCACAACCTCGATCTTCAACGGGAATCCATTTGCGACTCCCTTGATGTTGGATGATAACATGTTGTGAGTTAACAACCTCATCTGCGAATAAATTTCATGAAAACAAAAATTTCCCAGTAAGAAAACATTTCAAACACTTAAATTCAAAAAAATACTCGGGGGAGAAAACAGAAACAAAAGAAATTAGAATTACTTTGAAGTTGGGATGAATTTGCTAATGCGATGAACTTCCGATTTTATAGGCCTTAGACGGCGCCGGAGAAATTGTATTTTCAGTCCTCTCTCTTACTTCTCGAGCTGCTCTAATGGTTGTTCTGCGAGGCGTTTTTGTGGCAGGGGTAAAGAGGAAGTCTAGGGTTTGGGCCAGAGTTAGGGTCGGGCCAGTAATGTAGCCACTTGTGAGTTGTGATGACAATGTTTTGAAATATAGCCCATTTTGTAAACTTATTTAAAGTTTAGTGATCCGTAATATGACAAGGGTAACTTGATTATGCTCCATAGTCATAGTTTGCATATTTGCGGACTGTAGTAATAGATTAAGTTATTTCGTTTATATAATTTGTTGATTTGAATAATTCATAGGTATATTTTTATATAAATTCGAATTAACGAATTTATACAATTACAAATATCGAAAGTGTAAATAGTTATAAAAATTATATTATACAAATGTTGAGTTATACAAATTTCAAATTATACAAACATGCCAATTATACAAAATTAAAAAGTTAGGTCGTATAATCATAGCTAAAAGTTTGTTGCAAATAGTAATTAAAACAAACTATAGTTATGTTAACTAATTAATCAACATATGCTTGCTTATACGCCTAATATCCCTATGTATAACACAACCTACCAATATAGTCATATAAAACGGGTTTGGAGAGGAATAATTATACGTACAATAAGCTAAGAGAAATTCTATTTTTTTATAGTGTAATCATAACAAAATACATAACTACAACAAGATAATACGCTAATTGAAGTACAAGAAACAATAGAAAATTATGCAAAAATCAAAGGCAAAAAACTACATAAGCAATATGGACGTGATAGTGAGTCAAAACACTATTACCTTTTAATCTTCTTTGGTCGTACGTGTCTTTCGCGACCTCCTGTCTAATGTCACGTCGTAGCTAAATTGAAACTTTGTCCTATCCTATCTAATTATTTCTCCACAATATTTTTCAACCTACCTCCACACTCTTGTAATACCGCACATAACCAACTTTTCACATGTCAAATCATCTCAATCTTATCTTCCGCCAAAATTATTTCGACATTTCACGAATATCCTCGTTTCTAATTTTTTTGTCTCGTAATATAACCACACCTCCATAATGCAAGGCAACATCCTTATTTATGCAAAATTCATCTTGTGAAATATGAGAATTTCTTTGATCAGCTAATAGTCAACCCCTAACAATAAAGTTGGTGTAACTATCACTTGTAAAGAAAATTTCCTTCAAGCCTTCACTAGAAGAATAAACATTGTTGAAGTGAGTAATTAACTCATAGCAGAGTATGAGTGTGATCAACTGCCTTGTCATTTTCACCTGAAGATTTGTTTTTGCTAGATTTCTGTGTTTGTCTAACCATTTTAGAATTTATGATCACATAATCTAGTAGATGGAGCTAGACTTGCAATCTTGTGCTCGACTGCTCAATACTGTTAACAGCAACCAATCTCTTCCTAATGGGAAGCAACTCCACCTCGTTTTCCTCAAAAGGGGTATCCTTAACTCTGCTCTAACAATAGCCAATCGCCTTCTCCAAATGTATACCAGGTGTGGACAAATGGCTGATGCACAGTTACTGTTCGATGAAATGTCTCAGAGAAACTGCTTCACTTGGAATACCATGATTGAAGGGTATATGAAATGGGGGAAGATGAACAACTCTTTGGACTTGTTTCGTTTAATGCCTTCCAAGAATGAATTTTCTTGGAATGTGGTCATTCTTGGTCTTGTTAAAGCAGAGGAGTTGGGTGTTGCTAGAAGACTATTGAGTGAAATGCCACGGAAGAATGAAGTAGTTTGGAATGGACTTATTCATGGGTATGCGAAAATGGGATTCCCTGGGGTGGCTTTATGCTTGTTTAAGGAGTTTATAGACTGGGATTTTCGAGAGATGGGCGGTGCATCACATATAGATTCATTTGTTTTGGCAACTGCATTAGGAGCTTGTGCTGACACAAGAAGTGCTGATTTGGGGAAGCAAATTCATGCTCGTATTATAGTCAATGAAGTTGAAGTTGATTCTGTGTTGGCAAGTTCTTTAGTTAACATGTATGGAAAGGGTGGTGATTTGGATAATGCGAACTATATTTTGAATAGAATGCAGAATCCTGATAACTTTTCCTTGTCAGCGCTAATTTCAGCATATTCAAAACGTGGTCGAATGGATGATGCCAGAAAGATATTCAACCTGATAACTGATCCTAGTATTGTACTATGGAACTCCATGATTTCTGGGTTTGTGTCATGCGATGAAGTGTTAGAAGCATTATTGCTTTTTGGAGAGATGCACAGAGAAGGAGTTATAGGAGATTCCTCTACATTAGCTAGTGTATTGAACGCCTGCGCTAGTGCATATGCCCTTAAAAATTGTTTGCAAGTGCATGTTTATGGTTTTAAGCTTGGACTGTTGGATGACCTTGTCGTTGCTAGTGCGCTCATTGACACATATGCCAAATGTGGATGTCCTGATGAAGCTTCCAATGTTTTTAATGAACTCAAAACACAGGATACCATCTTGCTAAATTCTATGATTACCATATATTTTAACTGCAACAGAATTGAAGATGCGAGACAATTATTTGAGTCAATGCCCTACAAGAGCTTAATATCTTGGAACTCTATGATAATTGGTCTTAATCAAAATGGTTGTCCAGTTGAAGCACTTGATCTTTTCTACAGAATGAATAGGATGGATTTTAGGATGGACAAATTTAGCTTTTCAAGTGTGATCAGTGCCTGTGCAAGCATTGCTTCAGTTGAACTTGGTGAACAGATTTTCGCAAGAGTTGTTATCATCGGCCTTGATGGTGATCAAATAATTACTACCTCCTTAATTGATTTCTACTGCAAGTGTGGTTTTGTTAGTGATGCCAGGAAGCTCTTTGACCAAATGATGAAATCCGACGAGGTTTCGTGGAATTCTATGTTGATGGGTTATGCTACAAATGGTTACGGAAATGAAGCTTTGAATCTATTCCACGAAATGAGAAGTGTGGGTGTTTCGCCAACAAATATCACATTTATTGGTGTCTTATCTGCCTGTGATCATTGTGGTTTACTAGAAGAGGGAAAAAGGTGGTTTTATTCAATGAATTACGATTACCACATTGATCCAGGAATTGAACATTACTCCTGTATGGTAGATCTTTATGCAAGAGCTGGATGTCTCGAAGAAGCTGTGAACCTCATCAAAAAGATGCCATTTGAGGCAGATTCAAGCATGTGGTTATCCATTTTGAGAGGATGTGTAGCTCATGGTAACAAGATACTAGGACAGCTCGTGGCTCAACGCATTATAGAGCTTGATCCTGAGAATTCAGGTGCTTTCGTGCAGTTATCAAACATATTTGCTACTTCTGAGGACTGGGAAAGATCTGCTTTAGTCAGGAGGCTGATGATAGAAAAGAAAATCCATAAGAGTTCTGGTCGAAGCTGGAGTGATATGTAAGACAAAGTGCAGTACAGGTCTGCGGATGATTATTGCAGCAGTTGGAGAAGAGGTTAATTTTATTTTTAGCCACCCACTTCAATAGCTTTTGAAGCTATTAATTGTTTTTTTTTCCGGCTCATTCATGTTCTTGTAACAATGGTTTTCTTCTAATCTTGTTGCATTATTTTGTGAGCACAGCCCAGTTGAAGTGCTTTGTGAGAATTAGCAGTTTGTTTCTCAGATGCCTTGATTTAGGGCAGAAAAGATATCTTTGCTTATCTGATTAGTATCTTTTCATAAATGGTGATCATGTTACTATCTTTCTATAAAGTAGTGATCAGGCATTGTTATCTGCATTCAGGTTCTTGGAATTGTGTGGATGCAGAAATGAAGAGTTCTTAGCTGTTCTGGTCACTAAGGTAACAATGCGTGAGTTAAAGAAATTTGCTGGGAACTCTACACTATACTTTAGGCATCCGTCCTCTTCAGTCATGCACATCGTTTGGCTGTTCTTAACAGTGTTTTCTCTGAAAATTCTTGGTGTTTCTATCTGTCATTCATCAATTTTATTTGCCAGGATTTAATTCTAACACTGTCCGTGATATCCAAGGTGCTATTTCACATTGTCTAGGACAGAATTTTGCAAAATGTTTGGATATAAATTTTGAAAATGAGGAGAGAAGGCTATGGTCTGGCAGAACTCATGGGCTTATAAGACCAGAGCAATACAAATTCAAAGCTATTTAGAAACTGTCGTTGTAGTTTCCACTTTGTTATGCAAGCTAACTCTTTTTACTGATGTTGTGGCAGGTTGGTATAGTGATGTTGTTCATGGGGATGAGGGGGTCTGGTCTGCCTCCTATAGTAGCGATAACTCAAGTAATTATTCTTCCTACGCCCTTCAAAGGATGCTCACACTCAAGGGATCTTTGAAGCATGTTCTGTCATGGCTGAAAACGTGAATGAATCAGGTATTTGTGCCGTGGCCGACCTCAGAGAGAACTATTACCTGGCTGGAAATATTTTTTCTGGGAGAATGAAGGGGGTTTCCCCTTAGGATTGAAGCAGGATAACAAGGCCTTGGAAATGACCAGGTAGGAAATGTAGCTTTTGTCTTTTCTTTCTACTTGCCAGTTGTTTAAGAAAGTCACATAGAAAAGGGAATAGAAATCATTTTTGTTGTTAAATTGTCACTTTTGGACACCAAGCTTGATGCTATAAATTTACTTTAGCTTTGTAATAACTTTCCCAGGTATGAGCTGTTTGACGCTAAATGCAGCTAAAAGTCAAACAGATATTCCGTGACTAATCTAGTTGAACAAGCAAAAGATATGCTCACCTCTGTCCTCCAATAAAATTTGTTTGATGTCTCGAAACAAAAGTGAGATGCTTGTTTTCAGGTTGTATGAACCTGGGATGAATTTGCAAAAGCGCTGAACAAGAAGATATTGGTCTGGCTCCCTGGTGGATTGTGAGGTATGTTACACTTTCAAAGTGGTTGCATCTGAGATGAATCTTTTATTTTCATTTTCATTTTCATTTTTGGGTTGGGATCTTTTGTTTGAACTTTGTGTTGATAAAAGAGAAATAGTAATAGTAGAGCTGTAAAATACTGACATGTTTGTGAATAAATCTCAAGTCAGCTTGTATTAGTTTGAAGTTGAGCTTTCTATTTAGTTTGACCATTCAAACTCGAGATTCAGTTTATTTGAATTAACGTTAGCGAAGAGCCCATCACCCTTATTCTTAGTAAATATACCATAGTTACGTAATTTACAATGTATTTTTTATTATTCCTAAATGATAAGCAGTTGAATAAGAATATTATATTTTTGGGTGTTTTATATTTGAGGCAAGCGTTAAGCGTGGCATAGTGCTCGATTAATTTGATGGACATGTATTGTTTGTTCATGTCATACTTACCTTATAAACACTGACAAAGATGCCGCACACACATATACCATGCAGTCAAACAGACATGAGGCATTCCGCAGCTACAACAATAATAATCCTTACTGCTCATTTCCATTTATAGCTTGATTTAAAAATCTACCACCTGTGAAGACCGAATCCGTCAACAATGGTGTAAACCACCATTCTGACAGGGTAGAATCTATACCTGCAGATAGTAAAATACCTCAACTTCAGGCGTTTGTCAAAGTTCAACAGTCAAGAAAATGTGTTACAGCAAATGAACTTCGATCAAATGGAAAAAAGGTATGATCTCATAACTTGGAGGTCATGCATCAGGGTAACTTGTAATTTCTTGTGATTTGTTTATTTCCTTTTCAATGTGGACAAAATTTGTATCTGTAAAATAACTGTATTTGGCCCTAACTTCAGAAATTCAGGTCTGAAGTTAAGGCTCTGAATGTCTGAAGTTAGGCTTTGGCAAGCCAAACATCAAATTCTAGATTTTCAACTTCAGTCCCGCAGGTTTAAAATTGATTTTGAGGCAATTAAACATTAAATACTTTGTAAATTTTTAGCTGTGTATTGAATAGCAGTTATCTGTGCACATGTCCCAGCACCAACTTATTAGACTTGCACCCAAAGACAACCCAAAGGGGCTTTGTGATAATTTTATGTTTATTCACTTTATTTTTTAAGTTTTGATGTCCAGACTTGTAGTATCTCTAGGTACTTGCTTTTCGAGCTAGCTATATTAAAATCAAACTGTAGTCAATTTTTACAATTTTTTAATGTCCAGTGCAGTAAACTAAGGTTAATAATTATTATAGGTAATCACACTGAAAGATGCTAGAGGCACTTCGTAAAAGGTAGAAAAGTTGGAAGTCACATATTAATTTTATGACTTAATTTTGTCATTTTCTGTATTAAGTTTGCTCTAATGGGCAAACACCAAGTTTTCTTTGGAATAATTAAGTAATCGTATAAAAAATTATACTAGATAGTATCTTTAAACTTTAAAGTTCTTATGAAACTTCAGGGTGGAAATGAGTGCTTTTAGACTTTCTTGTTTGTATCATTCCCTAGGTAATTTTGATTGCCTTTTGGGGGATCTTTCAACAACTTTGCCCACCAATAATTCAATCTTTGGTTTCTCCGTTTCATGTTTTGATTTCTAAGTTTTTGTGTAAGTACATCTCTTAAGAAAGATATTGTCAACGATTATTTGCTTATACTATCAGCTGCGTTTATCTCATACGTCTCACTTAATGAACACTCTACTAGTTCATGTCCTTGAGACTGTAGAACTCCAACAGTGATTTGCAACTAGGGCAATAGAAAAGCAATATCATATATAGAGCCCACTGCCCAATAAATCAACTTTGAGAGGATCCCAGATCAGTACCTTATAAAGACCCTTTGAAAAAAGCATGAAAAAATTAAAATAAAGTACTTAAGATAATAAATAATTAAAACCACCTAGGGAATTTTTGTCTACTTCTTAACATGCCAACCTGTACATATTTACAATACCACTCACTAAATTCATATAAATTGTCAAACCTTTTACTCACCTTTAATCATAGCCCATCTTAGATCAATCTCTCCTTTTTCTCTCCTTACTCATTATTGTTCAAAAAAAGAGAGATAAAGAGCCTATGTGCTATTGATTTCTTCATCATTAGCAAGAGAAAAAGGAATTGAATTAAACTGAATTTTAGTTTTCTGAGATAATGGCCAGCACCTTTTGCTTTCTTGTTGTAGCAACACTCATTATGTGTATATTCATTGCAAAAACACCTCTAGCAGTGTCACTGAATGTGGAGAGGAAGTTGATATCAGCAACACCAGTAGAGTTTCTTGCAAATCCTCCGGTGCCAGCGGCATCTCCATTCTCAGAGATATCTCCAGATATTGCACCTCTCTTGCCTTCTTCTGGTGGTGTGGTGCCTCCAGTTTCTTCAATGCCAACTATTCCTTCGAATCCTAGTAAAAATCCAGATGATGTGATGTACCCTATTGGCCCTGATACTGCTGCTCTTGGACCTTCTGCTTTTTCACCTGTTTCCTCCGCTGTTTGTTGTGTTTCTCTTGCAACATATCTGAACATTGCAGTACTGCTTCTAGTAATCGGCTTATTTTGTTCGAGTTAGACATCTGGTATTCGAAATACACTGATTTGTTATTTGAGAAGTTGTATAATATGGTCAGCACTATAAAATGCAGTTTCAATCTTGTATAAGTTGATTCACTCTGAAATTCACTTCTTTTACAAGGGATAAGTGATGTACTAGTATAAGTTCTTTTATTGTCCCAATTGTATTTAGTTTCAATTATTGTTAGAAACCAAAGGCGAAGCTAGAGTTCTAACTACGGATTCTTCAAAATTCAGTAGTTTTGTTCGTGTTAAGAAATTCATTGAATATATATAAATATACTCTCTCCAGTCCATATTTCATGGTGTTTTTAAGTGTTTTAAGCTTATTACATACCGTCCAAAATAATTCAAAATAAAAGATTTTCCAATGAAGATGATAATTATTGTATTTTTTTTTTTTCAAATATACCCTTATATAAACAAGTGTGATTTCATATAACCAAGGAACTGTAAGAGTAATTTAGTGAAACCACCTTATTCGAGTGAATTTCTTAATAGGTAATGCCGTTAAAAATACCATAAAATATGAATATGAAAGAGTAATTTATCTCGAACTCAATAAGCCTATCTTTTATAGAATTCAGAATTTTCAATTTGCAAAGTGTAATTCTTATAATAGGCTACAATTGTTTCTAGTGTTGTTTTTTTAAAAAAATAAATAAATAAATAATTAAAAGTGATTATCAAGATTAGTGTAAAAGCAATTAAAGAAAGTGCTACTTTTTCTTGTTTAATTTCACATATGCTACTTTTTTGTTTTAAGTAAAATAATATAGCTGGCTATGAGTGATGAAGAAGGCACATGGAGGGGGCCATGTAATATCCCAACACTTTTTGGTGTTCCAACTCCTTTCATCATGTGATACCATCAGTTACATTTTGGACTTTTGTATCAATGGGGGTACACACTATGCCCAAAATTATATAATTTAACTATTCTAACATGACCCTGTCACACCTCAAAACATAGAAAGTATAGTGTTATTTTCTATTCTTTTCTTGTCATCCTTTTCCATCTTTAATTTAAGAAAATATTTTTCAAAAAAGTTAAAAAAGATAAGTTGAGGTTAACAATGGTTTATATAAGCGCCCCAAACAATATTGTTATGCGATGCAATATATATGTGTTCAGTTAATATCTTTTAATAAAAGAGACTATTTTTTCGCTAAATTAACAATGTGTGAAAATTTGCTTGCATTAGCTAAAATAACTATTAATCGAATATTTTTGTTTGAAAGTTTGACTACTTATACCCCTTAATCAAACTTTTTTTAAAAATAAACCCTAATTATATAAATTTGACATAAATAAACTAGAAATGCATAACAAAAATGCAAGAAGTAAAGCTACTTTACATTTACATTAATATGACTCGGACTTTGAGCAAAAGGAAAAGCTGGTCCAGTAGACGGCACTTAGAGGGGCCGCATCCTTGTCTACATGCAGGGCGGAGCTAAAATTCCGATATGGATTTATTCGAATTTAGTTTATTTATTTAATATATATAATTATTAAGTTTAAAACGTAATAATTATTAATTATTTGTTAATATTTGAAATTCATAAAACTCAAATTCTAATTTTATCTTTGTCTTCCAGCAGGGCTTAAACACATGGGTGTTTGCTCTGTGTGCACCCTGTTGCGAGTGGACACAAGCTATTACTGAAATGACATAATTTCATACATAAATTATTGAGATTTTTGGATTATAATGAAATCTTTGATACTATATAAACTTATTTAATCAAAATATTTTTAATCTAAAGAAATTTATAACTCAACAAAAAATATTTTATTTAATAATTTAGCTATAAAACTCGATAATAGAAGGATGGGACCCAAGATTTGCAAATTGCAACGTCACTTCTTCTTAAGTTCCTAAAACTTTTTGCAAAGGTAAATTTGCATTTGCTTTCTTTACTGACGCTAATGAAGCTGCTTTTGTGGCTCCTTTTGGTTGGGCTTTAATTGAGACTTTTTATAATAAAGGCCGCTTTTTTTTAAAAAAATCTTATCATAAAGTTTTAAAATATAAGTTAGGTGGATAATATATCAAAAGAATTGAAAGAAACTTATATCTAAAATTTGAGCTAGAGAAAGATTTGACCGGATAGATGTTCATTCAATTCGTTGTTAAGTAGTTTCCAAGTTTAGATTTTAAAATTCAACCTATCACAAACGCAAATCATTTTGGATGATATGTCAAAAGATTTAAAATATTGAACGGAGTTCATCATATCTAAGATTTGGCGTATTACAAACGCATATCATTTCATGTGAATGATATATCAAAAGACTCAAAATATTGAGAAGAGATTATCATATCTAAAATTTAAGACTGTTTAGAGGAGATTTGAGATAGTCGAGATTGAAAAAAATAACAACTTGTTGAGGAAGATGAAATGTTGCAATGTATAAATATTATATAACAATGTATATGAATGTATATACAGCTCTTATACATATTTATATATATATATATATATATATATATATATATATACTATGTCCTACATATATAATATTGATAATTACATATATATGCAACCATTTTAGCTAATAGGAATTATGACTGATGTTACATCGACATAAGAAGCCCCTATATAAGATTTCCAAAGATTTGTTGAAATTCACATTCAAGCACAACTCCTCATTTGGAAATTAAGGGAGTGTATGAACATGAAAATTGTGAGTATTTGAAAATTATAAATTTTGTTTACAAAATAAAAAATAATATCTAAAAGTTGGAATTTTATTTGATCATGTATACAAATTAAAGTTATTTTTAAATCTTTTAAAATAAAAACAATGAAAACAAAACTTTTTGTGTAGTAAGCCCTTGATGAGCCCATGATTACTTAGTTTGAGGCCTCATTAGTTCACATGAAGGCTTTCAAGTCCATTATTACCTAAGAGGTGGTGTATTAAGTCCTTGATATAAGCATGGCCACTCTTTACGGCCTCGACTAAATTTTAATCGCGCATAGCTCAATCTATTTACACTATATTTGGATCATTATTATTATCTGTTGTATTATATTATATCGTTACTATATCTATAATGTTTGTTTTGATTGTTACTTAAAATGTATTGTACGATATTGTTAAATTTCGTTGTTACGTAACAACGAAAACCCCTATTCTATGGAACAACCAACCAATTTGGTGTGTTTCCGTTGTTACTTAATTTCTTTTTCCAATTATATCTTTATATAATATTTCAAAATACTATTTTTACCGTTTACCTTAATTATTTGAACCTAGTCAAACCTCCTACCCTAGAATAATTAAGGATAATTAAGTAAATTTGTAAATTACAATACAGTACGGTACAATCAAACCAAACAATTAAAATGTTACTAAATAACAACAAACAATACAATCTAGCCAAACATTATATCTTTCATACAATACAGTACAATAAAGTACAGTACAATACAATACATTATGAAATAATGAATAATAATGATCTAAACAAAATATTAAGGTACATAATTTTCTTCGTACAGAGGCTCGAACCTAAAACAAGCTACCATTGTCATTATATTTTTTTAGCTATATTATATATATATGTAGTAATTTTCCTTTTTTTTTTTAAATTAAAGCCATCTTGGACTTATGTATAACAAAAAAGAGTAGCTTATACGATACTAAACCAATTTAATATTTTTTTAATACTAAACCATACAAATCTGTCGGAAAAACAAAAGATTTTTGGTTGGCATAACAAGAAAACAACAAAAAGCCAAATATTCAAAAAGTGAAAGTCATTTTAATTAATTTGCTCCAAAAATGAAATTAGGTGAAGATTTAGGACGTTTGATATACCAACTTTACTTCTAACTAGTTTCTTCCTTATAGTCAACTCACTTTCATCACCTTTTTTTTAAAAAAAAATGTTTTACAATATTCAATCTATTAATTAATTTTATTAATAAATATAATATGACTATGAAATATGTTTTTTTTTTCAGTATGTTGGTGTCATTTTCTACTCTAGTTTAATTTCCTAGATTTGTTACCTTACGTTTATAATGGTATACACGTGTATTATACACCATACCTCATAATTAACTATTACTTACTCCTTTTTTTTTTTCATTTTTTATTCAAAGTTCAATATCTATATAAGAGCTCGAGAAAAAAATGCTCTCCACTACTAATTATTCTTTATATACATATCGATCCTAAAATTCTAGTAGAGAAAAAAATAACTTTATCTATTATATTACATTTTTTGACGGCGTAACTGGTTTTTTTTTTCTTTATATAGTTTTCGAATTATTATTTTTTAAGACGTGATGGACCATGTGAATAGGAGTTAGGGGACAGAGAACAGAATATGAGGCCTTAGGTTAAAAATCATACTATAAGTATCATAGTTTGATAAGATATAAAAATATTACTTCCATTATTTTAATATATGAGTTAGTTTGACTTTTCATAAATTTTAAAAAAGAAAGAAGATTTAAAAAAATTGTGGTACAAAATTAATCATAGATATATGTGTTGCTAGAAATCATTTCATTAAGGATAAATTGAGCATTTTAAAGCAAAATTGAAGTACTAAAATATAAAAATATATTATTTCTTTTTTAGAAAGTAAGTTATATAAAGTGGAACAAGAAAATATTACTCAAATAAGATGTATTGATAATAGTATAATTAAGAAAAAGTACACAGGTATCCCTTCAATCTATGCTCAAAATCTCAGAGACACACTTATACTATACTAAGGTCCTATTACCCCCTGAACCTATTTTATAAATAATTTTTTATCCCTTTTTGAACATATATGACACTATCTTGTGGGCCCAACGCATGTTGATAAATTTTTTCTAAGCTAATGCACTATCATTAATAGTGTTTAGATTAATCCTATTGACATTATTTTGTATTGATCACCTTATGAAAAACAATAAAGATGCTTGGAAATTGGGATATGTTACATCTTGTTAGCATGTTGATATTACAAACAACTACTTATCGTAATATAAGGCTCAAATATGGCTAAAATTTTATAAATAAAAAGATATAGGAGGCTACACAAGTGAGCTCGATGTAGAAAATAAAACCATCAAGACATCATTTAGTATTATTTGACAAAAAAATTCTTATTGTATAGTTAATAAAAGTTGACTAATTTCCCTTGACTAAGTTAGAGATTTTCCCCCAGTTTCGTAAATCAAAAGGTTAGGTGAATTATACAAGTAAACTTCATTTAACAAGTTAAGCTTAAGAGTGTGCACTCACTCAATTGAATTAAAAAAAAAATATGGGATAAAACAAAAGTGAAAAAGTTAAAGAAAATAATAATAAATTTGACTAAAGCAATTTCAAGTCATGCAAGCAAATGACGCAGTAAAATCTCTTTTTATCATTTATTCGTTGCATGGCTACGTCTTTTTTTTGACTAGCAGAAAAAATCTGGTCCCATTATCTATTCGAAAATTATGTTTAAAAAATCAACTTTTTTGTAAAGAGATATTATTTATATAAGCAAGCAATTTTAGTCGAGATACAAGTAAGTCCATATTTATTTGAAAGTTAATATTTTTTTGGTTGAATTTGGAATTTCAAAAATACTTTAAAACCTCGATATATATTCCAAATTTTACCCTAAATTTTGTTTGTTTTTTTATATAAAAGTTATTCCACATTAGAAATTTTCCAACCAAGAAAATGTATCAAAATGAAAGTTTGAGTCGTTTAAAAAAATTTAAAACAAGAATATAAAAATATAGCCCTTTTAGGGATAGGTCGAATAGAACTTAATTACGGACGTAATAAGAAAATATACTATTATTACATTCGTCTAGGTTTCAATTTATTTGTCTTACTTTCCTTTTTAGTTTGTTTCAAATAAAACATTTTTTTTTGTAACACTTTAATTTCAACTTTCTACCTGATATATTTTAATATCAGTAGACATTTTAATACATTTCAAATATTTTTAATCTGAAGCCATAAAACTTAATTTTATCGTTATTATTTTATTTTCTTAAATTTTACATTAGATCAAATTTAGAGGATTACATAAAAATTAGAAGAGAGGAGAACAATATAATCCATGGTCGGCATGTCCTCTACACCTTATTTAGAATTTTGACCAAGTAAATTTCTAACTTTAGATTAATGTTTAAAACAAATAAACTTATAAGGTTCCTTGTCCACTTATTATATATATATATATAAGTCGATTATTTTATGAAGATAACTGTCAAAATCAAAATTTGTTAATTGGATTAAAGTACAAGAAACTAGACTGCTCAATTGTATAAATACTAAACATAGCTAATTTGGTAGAATCAAATAGAAGAAACCAAAAGAAAAACAAATAGATTCTTCCACAAATTTAATTTAATTTAATTAAAATGGGAAGATCTCCTTGTTGTGATGAAAATGGGCTTAAAAAAGGACCATGGACTCCTGAAGAAGATCAAATACTTGTTGATTATATTGACAAACATGGTCATGGAAGTTGGAGAGCCCTTCCTAAGCTTGCAGGTATTATAATAATTTCAACAAAAAAAAATATTTTTTTAATCATCTCATACACTGAAATTAGCTTCGAACTTTATCGAAAAATTATGTTGTATATAGAATATATACATTGTTGATTATGTATATATAATAGATATTGAATTTTCTTTGCGATCTGATATCGATTTGTTTTAACAAAATTAACATTTGTTGTTTTTATATGCTATATATATAGGACTTAATAGGTGTGGGAAGAGCTGCAGGTTAAGATGGACTAATTATTTGAGGCCAGATATCAAGAGAGGCAAATTTTCTGAAGAAGAAGAACAAACAATTCTTCATCTCCATTCCATCCTAGGAAACAAGTAAATTCAATATAACTTACATTAATTTTCATGAGAATTATATATAATGTTGTGTTCATTATTTCTTATCGAAACAATTAATCATGTTCGAGATTTATATGTCAGTAAAAAATATAGAGAATTTTTCGTATTTTTTTTTATCGTATTTCATATAACATTGACTAAAAAATAAGCTTATATATAGAAAGACAAATAGACAATGATGATTTATATAGTTGATCTTAATTTTGCGAGAGATTTTATGTAGAATTATTTTTGTTTTTGTGAAAATTCATATTGATGATATCTTTTGATATTATGGTTGTAGATGGTCTGCAATCGCGACACACTTGTCAGGAAGAACAGATAATGAGATTAAGAATTTCTGGAACACGCATTTGAAGAAGAAGCTAATTCAAATGGGATATGATCCAATGACACACAGGCCAAGAACTGATTTATTTGCAAACTTGCCTAATATAATTGCCTTGGCAAATTTACTTCAACATCATCCACTTGAAGATCATGCTGTGAGATTACAAGTAGAAGCTGCCCAATTAGCTAAAATTCAATATTTACAATTTCTATTCCAATCTTCAAATAATTATAATCCACCACTACCTACACCCTCATCAAACACTCAACATTACAATACTAATAATAATAATAATAATCTTGGAGATTTAGGGGCATTTAATTTAACAAATTTTGTTAAAGAAAATAGTACCCCTTCTTTATCCAATCTTGAAAATCAAACACTTTTCTCCAATGAAAATAACTCTTGCTCTCAACTACTCCACAATAATCAAGATAAAACACATCAAGTCCCTTTCAATTTCCAAACGCATTTGAATAATAGTATTAATGAAATTAGTTGTCATAATTTTAATTTTGATCAAAAAAATAATTCACCTAGTTCCCCATTAAATATTACTAATATTCTCCCTTCTCCACATTCTTCAAGTCATTTGCCACCTTTGGCTGAAATTTCAATTAGCAATAATCAAGGACATTCCAGCAGTAATTCAACTAACAATGGTGCAGATCAAGGGAGTTCTTCATATTGGCCAGAATTATTTTTTGAAGAACACTTCATGCATGACATTTCTTGATATTTGCGCAGGGTTCCAAAACAAGTTAGAAGTTTTTTTTTTTTTTTATTAGTATGATTGGTATACGTTGTTGATGAGTGATATGGACACTGAGGATTATTATATAGACGACTCAATTTTCTTGGAATTGAGGCGTAATTGTTGTAAATATGTTATTGATTGTTGAGAGGGTACACTTTTTTTTTTCTATTTTCTTTTTTGATCCTTGTTGGATGTGTTATAATGTAAATATTCCTCATTGTTATAATGCAAGTATTCCTTCTTGTTCTCTTTTTATGAATTCAAATCTTATGTGTTAAGATTTAATAGAATTTTATAAATATATTTATATAATATATTAAAAATTATGAATTCAGATGAATCTGTGATGAAAAGCTATATCGCCCCTTAATATATTCTTCCTATGTGAGCTATAGTAACCTAAGATATCCTAGTAAAATACACTTGCTACTTCTTTCCAAATACTTTTTACGATTTTCTTTTTTTTTTTTTTTATCGATTAACATTTTAAAAGCACTCTACTTGATGACGTAAAAAAATACTTATTGATGTCATTTAGGTCATGATGAATTTTATATTATCAATTATTGTAATCTACATGTAAAATATCTGTATAATAATAATTGACAAGAACATATTGGTTACTTGATAAAAGTACATGTAAATTACATTACACTATCAACGTCAACTCCTTGATATGTTGTGAAACAACACATTACATTAGCTAATAGATGTTATAATTTTTTCTAAAAAATCATAAAATATTGTGCGTAAACAGTGACTTCTATTCATACATTATATATTATATATTTTAATTATTACAAATTTCAACACAATTGTTATAAATAATTTTAACCGTGAACTCGATTATTATTACGAATTAACTTAAAATTATTATAGCAATTTGTTTTGTTTTTGACCATATCTTTAAATTTTGTCTTTGCAATCTTTAATGATATACACATCTTTGCTAATTTTTCAACAAAAGAGTTTGATGGCCTATGATTAACGCATCAATTTAGATGATTGGAAACACAATAATTAATACTACTCAAATAAAGCATTTATTTAATTTCTTGATGTTGCCACTTATATATGATCATTACAATAATTTCTAGATGTTCGTGACCAACTGCATGTACAATCATGACCAGGGGCTGCTTCATTTAATTATATGTTTTTTTTTAATATAAATAAAAGGGTTTTAATTAAATGACATAAGAACTTTGAAAAAAAATCTAACATATAGGGTAGGGTTAGGTGGTTTTGAAAACCTTCTTAATTTCTTCCCCACCCACAAGGAACTAACTATAAGGTTAAGCTAAGAACAAAAGAAAAAACCTAACACTATCTAAAATTTCTACATTTGCTTTGACAACTACGAGGTTATGACACTAAAACAAAAATAACTTTTAATAAAAATACATATGTATGTTAATAATTGATATCAGAACTAAAGTTGATATAGACTTCAACAACATTTACAGAGTGTATATATAATTATTATTAATAATTAATTTTGAAAAACATACCTAATTTTAATTACCGTTATAAATTATATTCGATATATTGTGACTCCACAATTAGTACTTGACATTAATCAAAGTTATTAAATATCTTATCCTTGAACGAAACCACAGACAAATGCAAAAACAAACTTTATTTTTATAATTAAAAAAAAAAAAGAATGAGTAGAGAGATACCATGGGAATATCGACAAGTGTGTGAAAAAAGTCTTCGTAGTAAATTGAGACTTTTTTTTCCTCATATGGTTTGTGTGAATTTAATGTCTTTGACAGTCAATTTCTTTGTAGAAAAGAAACACCCTTACCTATCTACTTGATAGGAGATTTGTAATATTTGACTTTTTTTTTTATTATCTCATTTGATATTTAAATTTTACATTGTAATTCAACTAGTCTATCTGAATGTTAATATGGAAAGGATAAAATATAAAATTCGAGTCATCTGAATGTCAATATTGAAAGGTAAAATGGTTCCTAAGAAACGTGACTTCTTATACAGGAGTTCAACTTTTAATTTAAAATGAATAAATACTTATCACTTTATTGTAACAATAACTATAATGTATACACAATAATTAATTTTAATATTGGGTATGTTCTACACTTTTACAGTCGTTAATTAACCTATTTGCTCAAACAATGTATCCTTGTCTGGCCAAGATTAATAAACTCACTTTCATTAGAAGAGATTTTTATGTAGAAGTAATTATTATTATTCTATAGAAAATAAAAATAAAGTAACTTGAAGAGTGAGTGCGATTGATGTAATGCATACGAAAATTGTTAATGATTTTTTCCGTGAAGTTCTAATAGGAGTAAATTAGAGTATTTTTATTAGGTTTGGCACATGCATAACTTAACAATTTGATTATTTCTATTTCTCCAAATTAAGCATCCTAAGTTCCACTATCAAAAAATTAACACATGAAAATACGAGTCATGTAATTTTTATCTGAATTTAAAAATTATTTAATTTTTATAACATAAAAAGAAATTAAGAGAAATATGATTTTTAATTTAGAGTTTAATTTTTCTTATAATGTAAAAATATAAACTCGAAGTACTTGTAAAGTGTGAATGGAATCTAAAGGATAAAGGCAAATAGTGAGTTATATTAATACTTTATCCCATAGACCCATACTAATTGATCCATCATTCCAAAAATAATTGTTCCATATTAATAGTTGTCTATCTTACTGTATCAAGTTAATTGATTTATCCTATATTACTTTTGCAATTTATTTTTTCCGAAAGTATTAACCATTTGTTTGTAAAAAATTATTTATGATTTCTTAGTATTTTTTATATCCAATAATAGTTGTCCATTATTGATTGACACGTTCTTTAAGAAACAAAAAATAATAAGGGTAATATTACTATATTATTTTTTGACCTTATTAAATTTAATGCTTTAAAGAATACGTTAGATGATAAATAATATTTAATATTAAGGGTAAAATAGATATAAAATGTAAATTATCTCTTAATTTTTGTAAATTAGATAATTATTGTTGAACATCTATTTTTAGTATAGTGAACAACTATTATTTGACGGAAGGAGTACTTTATGTGTAAAAAGAAAATAATCAACTAATATAGGACAGAAGGAGTATTTACGTAAAGGTAAAAGTCGTAAATCACTATCGTCTTAATAGGTTATCGATTTATCCAATATTAAAAAATCAAATCGAATCGACAACTGATCAATAACTTTTTTATTTTATCAAAATCATTAAAAACCCGTTATCCTACTAACAATAAATTAATTAATAACAATTTTTTCGATTCGATCTATCGGTTGGTTAAGTTTTTCACACCCCCGGGGGCGTAGCTACATACTCTTTAGGGTGTCCAGTTGGACACTCTTCGTCGGAAAATTATATTTTTATATACAAGTCTAGTAATATACAAAGTGGTTAAATAATGCATTTATGACACCCTTAACACAACAAGGTGTTGCAGCCTACTCAAAAGACCAAAACCTTTAAGCGTTTGTGAGTTTAAATCTTGCTAGCAATAATTTTAAGGCTCTTTTTTTCAATTTTTTCGAATATATTACATACTTTAAAAAAATTTATGTATGTTACGTAGATCCTCTTTTTTCAATCTTTTTCAAAATCTTTTTACGTAGATTACGTAGTTTAATTTTTAAAATTTCTTGTGCACTCTTTTATCGTTTTCCTCTTTTTTCAATTTTTTCCATGTATATTACATATTTTTTTACAATTTTTTTATGTACACATTAGGTACTTTAGTTTTTAAAATTTCTAGTGCACTCATTCATCCAAAATGAAAAATGTACACGTTTCCTTGATATGCTTGATGAAATTTCTGGCTACAACACTAACAGGGGCGGAGCCACCTTGTAAGAAGGGGGTTCATGCGAACCTCCTTCGCCGAAATATTATATTATTTATACATGGTTAAATAATTTTATATGTATGTATAGTAGATGTAAAACCTCCTTCGATTACTTCATGTGTCTATTTCTATCTATTTTAAATCCTTTATTAAAAATTTTAATTCCGCTACTAACCACTAATACTTAAACATATCATGTGGGCAAATGTTAGAGTGTTGAAAAAACAAAGAAATCACTTTTTTAAAAACTTATTAAAAAAAGAAAATAGTGATTCTTTTTAAATGAGTAACTATTATAATAAAATTTCAAAAATCCATACTTTCAAACAATTTCCCTGGAGTAAAAAGTGATCGATAAACGTTATTTGGGGTTGGACAAGACAAATCAGAAATGGGCCAAGCCCACATGCCAAGAACCATCGTTTGCTTATCTTCTTATCTCATATGTTTTCACAACGTAACAATAACGGAATTATAAATAAAAAAAATTACATAAATTTATACATTTTTAAAAATAATTATTGATTTTAGTAATACTTTTTGTTTATTATTATTTATAGAAATATTGTGATAAATCTGTAATATGTATTAGAAGTGAATTGTGTATGCAATATATTTGAATTATAATTGTTTTTGAAATATATTATGTTTGTTTCGTAAAAAAAGTCACATTATATTATAAGTGTATTAAAATATGTGATATATGTATTATCCATATTAAAACTTGTATCATATTTGAATAATAAATTTATCTTTATAATATTGTATTAAATTTATATTATAAATGAATAAAAATGATTAAGTGAAAAAAATGACATTGCTATAAATAATAAATATTTTATTATTATAATATATTTACTTAAGTTTCCAAATAACACAATTAAATACTGCTGCTAATGAAGAAAATAACTATGCATTTACTAACATTTTAAAAAAAAAATATTTGTCCTTTTTTATTCTCTGTGTGGACCTTCCCTGGTACATTGACAAGAGTGTGCTGAATTATTTGTCCTTTTACTCTGTTAAAACTGTTTTTTTAAAAAAATATTTTAGGGTATCCAGAAATATAATTAAACTAAAATATTCTATTTGAGAAGTACTAATACTGGCTAAGCTAAATTAGAAAGAACTTTAAAACTCGCTGGTAATTAAAAAATATCTTTAGCGGCAATTAATTAATGATAATATTTTAATTATTATTAAATATGTATTTTTAGCGATAATTAATACTTTTTATATATGTTTTTAAATTTTTTGGTGATATTGGAGCCAATGACAATTAGCTAATACAAGTAAAAACTTTAACATTCTTTGTTAAGTATGCCAAAATTAGGAGTTGTTGGCTAGTTGCCTTCCATAGTCTCATCCATCAATAATATTGTTAGGTTTATGTCCCTCAACGAGTAAAAAGGTGATAAAATTAGTTAATGAAAATATAACTTGATCAATCTTCAAATGGAATCATATTTTCACAATGGATTGACTTGGAGCATCTCATTATCTCAGGCCAAGCTGATAAAAATTGAGTTAATATGTAATTCAAAATTACTCGATTGAAGAATTTATTCGAATGTTTATAAGATATATTTAAATTTCATGGTTTAATATAGTCATAACAAATAAATAAATTATTTATTTGGTAATTAAGCGGATGGTAAGAAAACAAACAAAGAAGTTAAAAAACTTTGATTAGATTATAAAGAATTTAGTTGCGATTTATTATTTAGTTCATCTAATTAAAATAATTTTTGGCCGAATAGATCATTTGTTAATTTATTGATTAAAAATAACACCAATAGCC